AACAAACTTTGAAGCTGTCGAAGAATCATCTGTTTGCACAATGAAATTCCATTAATGAGATGTATCCATGAGAAAATCAGTAGGATCTCTAAGGAGGATTCGAACCCGCTAACTTGGTACTCCCAGGCAAGCGCCCTAGACACCATGACATACGTGTATACATACAGCAGATAAACCAACATGTCCTTTACAAAGAACGTCGCATATAGGTCGTTTGCGTTACATAAGGTCAAAAATTGTTCTGCTTGAAAATGGAAGTGGCTCGCGAAAGTGACGCACTGTCCCGCTTCCTATTTTGGGTCCTCAGATAGGTTTGGAGTGGACACTATAATTTGACCGTTTTCTTGACGTTGGGAAACCTTAGTAGTACGGGCTATCTTGAGATCTTGAGGTTATCTTGAGATGATTTCGGGGTTTAGCGTCCCCGCGGCCCGGTCCTCGACCAGGCCTCCATTTTGTTACACACCCCCATGAAGCAGCCCGTAGCAGCTGTCTAACTCCCAGGTACCTATTTACTGTTGGGTAACAGGGGCATCAGGGTGAAAGAAACGTGTTATACTCAAATTCTATGTCAGTTGAAATATAACCAATCACAGGCAAGTAGGCCTCTGACGTCATGCCAGACAGAGGAGCACCAGCCATTGCTCCCAGCAGCCTCAGTTCTCCTCACAGACTCAGAGTAGGTGGTCCTCGGTTGGCCAGATATATACCTTTTTTCTCGGTCAATAAATATATACAGAAGCGACTACTGTGTCTACATTCAACCCGAACAAGGCAAACGAATAAACGTTTAGCCCATTTGTCTTCGCCTCTACCAGGGATCGAACCCGGAACATCAGGATTAGCCCTCAGGGACTGGATAAAGATGCTGCGAGGCAGATGCCTTGCGTTCCCCAGAGAGGGACCGTCTGGAGAACGGACCCCCAACCACACAGAAAACCAGGTGGAAGAGATTATCGACCCTTAGTCACCTCAAACTATGAGATAACTCTGGGTAACCAAAGTCGTGGCCTAACCGGCAGAATCGTGTCTCCCCCTAAACTCAGTTCTAATCCGGAAAGCGCCAACCAATGGTCGCCAACTCCCCAGACCTCTCGTCCAAGCCGAAGTAGTACACCATTTACTCTCCCGAAGATCAAACCAGAAAACATTAAAAGTCTAGCTACTTCCCATTGATGCTGGGTGATAATCCGGGCTCCTTAAAGAGGAATGACTAACTCCAGTATCGTGACCCAATGGTCAAATTCGCATCAAGTTGTCACGCTTGACAACTTGTCAAATTGTCCTTCACTTGAGGAGAAGGCGCCTAAACGTCTGCTCGTCAAGGTGGATCCAGGTGTCCCATAATATTATATGTGTTGTTGAAGTGTCAGTGATAATATATATAAGTAAACTAATCAAAGTGCTTCTTTATTGAAACTGACATATATATAAATTTATATAAATTTATCAATACTGCAATCATTCAATTAAATATAGGTCAAGATACCCTGTAAGTTGAGCGGGGAAGTGGGGATAGGGGAAGAATTAGTTAGGGTGAGAGGAAGGGTTTTTAGGATGAGGTAAAGTGTCAGGGCTAGAACCAGCTGCATGGCATTAAAACGTTATGACCAGACTAAGCGATGGAGGCAAGGAATCGGATTTTGTTACAACATTATGTCTTTCAGCGCGCCCACGGAGATAACAGCCCTCAGCTGGGTGTGCCCTGGAGGCTCATACCAGTTGTGGTCTTGGATTTCGCTAATTAGCATTGTGCCCCACCCAGAGTCACAAGTAAATGGGAGCTAACAGGTTTCCCAGCCCCCCCCCCCCCCCTAAAGAGGGGGGAGAAGAGTTAAGGAGGCTGGGTAGTTTGGAGCTAAGTGATTGAGTAGTGGTATAGGAGGAGAGAGAGGAGTCATGTAAATGATGGAGCAGGAGGTGGGTCGTCAATCAGGGTAAAGAGGTTGTGCGTATTTCTAGGTCTACTACGGTTGTTTCTGAGGAAGGTGTTATAGTTGTCATGGTAGGTGAGAATTATTGTGATCTGTTTCTTCCCCATAGTGTCCCAGACCATGTTCGGAGACGGAATGTTCGCCCGCTCATACAGGACTTCACTAGTGGTGAAGTCCTGCCAGTGGGTATCCAACACCCATCTCAGGGCCCTGTTCTGGATACGCTAGAGTTTTTTCCTATTTGTTGGTGCTGCAAGTGAGAGTGGGATGGGTGCATATGTTAGGGAGGGAGAATGAGTGTTTTATATAGAGAGATCTTGGTGGCTTGGGAGGCATGTCTGAGGGGGGTAGCATTTTGATACTGCTTTGAAGGCTATAGCTTTCTTGGATGCTACGTGCGTATGTAAGCGGAGGTTGAAGTATAATGTAAGTCCAAATACTGTGGTGTTATTGACTTTCGGGATGTGGGTTGGGTCGGGTGATGGAGAGTAGAGTTTTAGTAGGGCTCGGTTTCGTCGTTTGTTGTAGAAGAAGTATGTGATTTTGGACCTGTTGAGGTTTGTTTTAATCCGCCAGTCGTGTTCCCAGAGTGTTACTTTGTCTATTTCTTCCTGTGCTTTGCGTGTGAGGGTGTCTATCGAGTATCCCGAGATCAGTTGGTTACGTCGTCAGCATAGCAAAGGGTCATAGATGTCCAGCATGTTGGGTCAGGAATATCGTTTATGTAGAGTATGTACAGGGTCGGTGAGAGAACTGAGCCCTGAGGGACTCCTGCATTTAGATTGAAGCATCCTGACCGCTTCCTGAGGAACTTTATTTGCGTCTTTCTATTTGTTAGAAAGCTGCATAGTACCTTCTGCATGTTGTCAGGTAGTTGTAATAGAGTACAGAATTTGTATCGCAGGCGGTCGTGCCATATTGTGTCGAACGCCTTTTCAACGTCCTTTGCTATGAGGACCGTCACTGCCGTGTGTGTACAGCAAGTTACCCCTTGCTACTGTTTCGTAGACAGTGGCATCACCTGAGGGTGTGAGGGGCTGGTTATTTTCTTGATGTCCTTTATTTCTCCACTAGCTGAACCTGGCCACGTGTTGCTGTAGCTCAGCAACGCATGTGCGTTGCTGAGCTACAGGAACCTTCCCCTGTCTCCCAGTCATCCCCACCTTTCCCCTCTCCCCCGTCCCCTTGTCCTCCTCACCATTCCTCACTCCCTTATTCCCTCGTCCTCCACACCATTCCCTTGTCCCTTTGTCCTCCCCATCAACCCCCACTCCAGCGTCCCCTCGTCCACCTAACCATTCCCCAATCCACCATCCATTCGTCCTCCCCACCATGCCCCACTCACCTGTCCCCTCGTCCCCACCATCCCCAACTCCCCTGTCCCCTCGTCCTCACCATCATTAACCCCACCCCCGGTCTACTCGTCTTCCCCACCATCCCCCACTCCCGTCCACTCGTCCTCCCTACCATTCCCCCACTACCTCGTCCAATGCATTCCCAAGTAATCTGATGTTCCCATCAGAAAATTGGAAACATCAAATGATCTGATGTTCCAATCACTGAAATATAAGAAAAACAGTTTAACAAAAAAAAACGAAATGAATAACAGTGAAAATAGAAAAATAAACTATACTTACGAAATGAATGGTATGGTAAACAACACAGATCAATTCCAATGCAATGTCACACAAAATAATTAAATCAAAATGAAAATAAATCGAAATCTATGAAAATTCTATTTATCAATGAACTTGGAAACATTGTAATGGAATCATAACATATTTAGTATAGTGTGTGTTGCTCTTAAATGCAACTGATGGCACTGTTTTTCAAAAAAAGCATGTTTTTACCTGTCACAGTTGTGGCATCTATACTTTTACTCCCGAAATGAACGGCATGGTTAACAACACAGCTCAATTCCAATTCAATGTCACACAAAATAATTAAATCAAAATGAAAATTAATCAAAATCTATGAAAATTCAATTTATCAATGCAATCGGAAACATTGAAAGGGAATCGTAACATATTTAGCATCATAACATTGCCATCTGTGTGTGCACTTTCGTGCCACAGATGGCACTGTTTCTTAAAAAATTTTTACCTGTCACAGGTGTTGCATCTATTCTTATACTTATGAAATGAACGGTATAGTACACAACACAGCTCAATTCCAACGCAATGTCACAAAAAATAATTAAACCAAAATGAAAATAAATCGAAATCCCTGAAAATTCAATTTACCAATGAAATCAGAAACATTGAAAAGAATTGTAACATATTTAGTATAGCGTGGTGTTGCTATTACATACTACAGATGGCGTTGTTTTTTCAAAAACATCATGTTTTTTCCTGTCACGCGGGTGGTATCTATATAGTAGGTATATTAAACACATGCGTATTTGAATGGAACGTTGTGTCAAAATTTCAAGGCAATCGGTGAAGAACTTTCAGAGATTACAGCATGTGTTGCTCTTATATCCAACAGATGGCGTTGTTTATCATAAAAGAGTATTTTTTCCTGTCATAGATAAGGCATGTATATAGTAGGTATATAAAAACACACGCCTTTTTGAATGCATCGTTGTGTCAAAATTTCAAAGCAATCGGTAAAGAGATTTTAAAGATTTCCCCTCACATGAAAAACACTCGAAAATCACATTTTTTTTTTAAAGCATGTTTTTGTCCCGTCACAGACGTTACATCTATATAGTATGTATATAAAACCCCGCTCGAATGCGAATGGAACGTTGTGTGAAAATTTTAGAGCAATCGGTGAAGTACTTTCAGAGATTAGCGATTTTGAACAAACGAATATTTAAATTATTATTTATATACATTATTCTATTACTTAAATATATTTATATATATAATATTTGTTTTATATTTAAAATTTAACCTCTGGTGTAAATTTATGTATTATTAATAATTCATTTGATAATTATTTCCTACCAGCTTTGATGGCAGTAATTTACTAAAATGTGCACAAAGCATATTTACCTTAGTGGCTTTCCGCAATTCTGAGCTTAACTCCCTAACTCTCATGAGCAGATATTTTAATTCTTACATTTTTGGCCGTGTTGAAGGTACTTCATCTCATAGGCAAAAACAGGTTGTTGCTGGTGCCTGCTGGTGAAGAGCAGAGTTTCGTCGTGACCAATGTTGAACAACCGATCACCAAACAACTGAAAAAATTATCATCTTTCAATTTCTTGTGCATTTTAATTATTTCCTGATAATATTTAAAAAGGTCTTCGTTTCGTTAATGTTTTAAAGTCGCTGCATACAATTCATAAATTAATACAAGCAAGAAGACGACTTCTAGATAACTGGCATTTTTTTCACACACACACACACACACACACACACACACACACACACACACACACACACACACACACACACACACACACACACACACACACACACACACACACACACACACACACACACACACAGGGGGCCTCGTAGCCTGGTGGATAGCGCGCAGGACTCGTAATTCTGTGGCGCGGGTTCGATTCCCGCACGAGGCAGAAACAAATGGGCAAAGTTTCTTTCACCCTAAGTGCCCCTGTTACCTAGCAGTAAATAGGTACCTGGGAGTTAGTCAGCTGTCACGGGCTGCTTCCTGGGGTGTGTGTGTGGTGTGGAAAAAAAAAAGTAGTTAGTAAACAGTTGATTGACAGTTGAGAGGCGGGCCGAAAGAGCAAAGCTCAACCCCCGTAAAAACACAACTAGTAAACACAACTAGTAAACACACACACACACACACATACACCCCTAGGAAGCAGTCCGTAGCTGCTGTCTAACGCCAGAAACTTATTTACTGCTAGATGAACAGGTCCATCAGGGTGAAAGAAACTTTGCCCATTTGTTTCCGCCTTCGCTGGGGATTGATCCTTGGACCCCAGGTCTACGAATCCCGAGCACTGCCCACTCAGCCGTCAGGCTCTCACCTGTATCAAGGCGTCCTTGTCAGTATCCCTGGCTCTCACATCACCCACGTAGTGCTGGAAGACCAGTCTAGCGAGGGTGAGGGGCTGGTTGTCACCCTCCTGGAACAGCAGCGCTGCCCGGGGCCCCACCACCTGGAACTTATGAACCAGCTCCTCCTGCACATTCTTGGACCTGTAGAGAGCTGAGGACATTTGTAGAAAATTATAAACTAAATCCAATTGTTAAATACTGTCACAATAATAAGAGATAAGTAAATAATTATAAACACAAAACTGTTTAGCCTGGAATGCTATGAAGCACCGTCTATGTCACAATTTATTCATATTTCTAGATATCATTAAGGGTGGCAATTCCACAGCAGAAAGATATAATATGAGTTATGTCAATGAAATCAGAGTCACCAACAATCTTATCATGGAACGTATAACTGAAAGGAACAATGGGAAAGCATAATTTCCGTAGATTACGAAAATCAGAACATTTTACGTGAAGGTGCTTGACCGTCAATGGGACAATGCCAGTGTGACAATAAGGTCCAAGAGTTAATAGGCAACCTAGCCAGAGAGGGTTCTCTGCTTCCTATACAGTATCAGTGACAATTGGAAGGCCACTAAGATATGTTTCATTTGATAGTGTGTATCAAATGAAATGACATAAATACTGTTAGATCTAAATGCTCTAGATATTTCAACCCCTTTGCTTCCATTCTGTCTAAATTTGGTGGCCTATATATAACTCCTATTATAATAATATTTGCTTTTTCGTTTAATTTTATCTAAATAGTTTCTGTATGTGGCTCAGTTTTGATTCCCTCTTTGAGACTACATTTCAAATTATTCCTAACATATATGGCTACTCCCCCTCCTCTTCTAATATATCTATCTGTGTGAAATAGTTTAAATCCATTTATTTGATATTCAGCTAAGAGTTCTCTATTTTTTACATTCATCCACGTTTCGGTAAGTGCAATAATATATATTTCTTCTGTACAGATAGGAGCATATAATTCGTTTATTTTGTTTCTTAGACTTCTACTGTTAGTGAAATATACCCTAAGAGAATTATTATTTTGAGGACCTTCTCTTTCCCTGATCATTTTGCCAATTTGTTTCTCCAACAAACACATATTTTTATTACCTCCTTCCTCCCTATCAATTCCCATACCACTATCTACTAACAGTTTAAACCCAAACAAATGCCTCTAACCACTGGTTCCAACGAGTTCGCAACAGCAACAGCCCTCGATAGATGCACCCCATCGCGAGCATACATTTCATTTCTTCAATAGAAGTGTTCCCAGTTGTCTATGAAAGATATTGCATTTGATTTGCAATATCTTTCCAGCCGGCAATTGACACCAAGTGCCCTCGACATCCATTCATTTCCCACTCCCTTTCTTGGAAGAATGCCACATATGATCGGGATTCCTCCCTTGCTTCTAACTAATTCAATTGTTGTTTTATACCTCTGAATCAGTTCCTCACTCCTAATTCGACCAACATCATTTCCTCCCGCGCTAATGCAAATCACGGGATTGTTCCCATTTCCAGCCATAATATCATTCATGTTGTTTATAATATCACCAATAACAGCTCCGGGATAGCAAACCCTTAATCTGTTCCCCCTATCTCTAGCACAAAACGTTCTATCCAAATACCTTATCTGGGAATCTCCAACGACTAAAGTTTGCTTAGGTACTTCCTTTACTCTCTGAGGGGCCTGCGCTTCGATGCTCTTCATTGCTTTCTCTTCTACGTGATCCACAGTCTCACCACAGCATTCGTCCTCCAATACGGCAATTGAATTAGACGTTCATAGGGCGTCTGTAGGCGGCTTTATCAAAGTTTTCTTAAGGCCCCTGTCCTTTACAACTTCCACGACGAGGTGTTTTTACTACTGGTCTCCTTCGTTCCTTCTTGCTGTTGTTTCAGCTGTCGTACCTCCTCCCGTTGAGAGTCCTGTCTAAATACCGGACGCCCAGGAACGTAGTATACCATATAAACTGAACCTAAATATAACCTATATAGAAATATTCTAAGCAAAACCCAGGAACGTAGTATACCATATAAATTGAATGGGTCGAATATTAATGATCCAAAGTGGATAACAAAGGATATGAAGAACCTTATAGGTAAAAAGAGAGCGTGGTACAAAAGGATTAAGAATGGGGAAGTCAATTTAGAACAGGAATTCGTACAACTGGTTACAAATGTTAAAAAAGAGATAACGAAAGCAAAAAGAAACTATGAAGTTCGCATAGCAGGGCAAGCGAAGACAAATCCTAAAGGGATTTTTCAGTTATATCGAACTAAGACTAGGGAAAGGATAGGTCCATTAAAAACTGAGACAGGTCGAATAACGGATAATGACGAGGAGATGAGTAGTATTTTTAATAAATATTTTATATCTGTATTTACTAAAGAGGAACTTAACATATGCTTTCAGCCGAACAAGTCTATGTGGGTGGGGATGAGGACAGGTTGACTAGTTTAGCAGTTACCAGGGAAGACGTAATTAAACAAATAGTAAAATAAATAGTAGTAATAAAATAATAGTAGGTTGGATGCGAACCCTAGAACCCTACTCCGTAGTACAACTGAGGTGCTCCCCAGAGGTGAACAGTGGCACCTAGGGAGGGGAGTTGGGCCCCAACAGAGAGGAGCTCAAGAGCGGAGAGTGCAGCAGCACTTGAGGCCGGATAACGTCAAGCACTCTAGAGGAACGACGACTCCTCTTAAGGTAGAGTACGCCGGAGTGTAAATTGCGATTCTGTGGGACACCTAATTGGGGGTTAAGACCTGTCACAATCTATTAATCTGACTAAGGTTGAGCTATGTTTACAATATCTTTATTGTATGTCCTTGAACCCCACCTACATGATTCTACACGAATGTTTGTTAAAACAAGTCGCTGTGGACATTGTTCTAACAATTTGTAACTACAAACTGAAAATTAACTTGCATACAATTTTGTTTAATTTCTCCTCTGTTGTAATAAAATTAGAGAACCTTAGCTAGGCTGGAATGATAACCACTCCGCAAATTACATTTCACAACAGGAATTTCAAACCAAAGAAAATAGGTTTGTGTGTCTCAACAAGACCACAAGACGCCCCCAGAGAGTAAATTTATCTTAGCATTGCTGAAATTATCGTGTACCCTTGGTCGTAGGAACATATTTACCTGGAAAAGCAGTGCTGCAAGGTCATGCTTCAAGTAATGTTCTAACAGGCTCCCATGGTGGTAAATTATGGTAGAATTTTTTTAAATTTAAAATAATATGTATTATAGATAATATGAAGAAGACTGGAATCATCGAACACAGTTTTAATCGTGTAACGACATATAGACAGCAACATAAAAATTATTTAAAGGACTATAAACCCAGAATAACGACATCACTAACTAGAGGTAATGAAGACGCCTTCGTGCTGACTGACGCCGGAGATGACGGGGACGTGGTGGAAGCGTCCCTCCTTCAGGAGCGCTGCGGGGTGGTCGGGCAGGTGGTCTCCGTCCACCCGGGGGACAGCAACCCACGGCAGCCAGCACCATATCTGCCGTGACAACAACAGAACAGTGTATCCAGCCTCCCAATCTGCAGGGTACAACAGTGGCATTAAATATATATGGGGAACTAGGTTAGGCATCCGGCGGTGCCCGGGTCTCTCTCTCTTTTCCTCTCCCTCTCCAATTATCCCCCAAACCATTCTCCGTCTCCCGTTCTCCATCCTTACCATTCTGCTTCCTTCCCTTCTGTTCTCTCTCCCTCCCTCCCACACTTACCCTCCTGCCATTCTGGCTCCTTCTCTCCCGTCATTCCTCCTGTCACTTCTTCCAGATGTGTTCTGTTATAGATGTCAAACCAACGTTCTTGACGCTTGTTTAAAGGAAACAGGTAACTATTTCCTCGTTGAATATTTCAATAATAAGAACAAAAATTACACTTGCTCTTAATATCTTATGACAGGGGGCTCAGGAGAGGGAAGGGGGGGGGTGAATTGCGAAAATGGCGGAGATTTGGGAGAGGAGAAGAGGGAAAAGAAGAGTGGGATTGTAGTGTGGAGGAGTAACAGGTTATCTCTGAGGGGAAAGAGGTGAGAGAGAGGAGGGTAGTAGGATGAGATAGAAAAGAGGGGTGAGAAGGGGAGGGAAAGAGAGAAGAGGGTGTATGATAGGGAGCTGGTTATGAGGGTGAGGAGAAGGGGGAATGGTTGAGATAAGTTAGAAGAGAGGGAGGGGAGGGAGACAGGGAGAAGGAGGGAAGATATAGTAAGGGGGGGGGAAGGGGTGAGGATATGAATTAAGACATTCATAATAAAAAACCCGTTCTGTAACGGGTGTTCAAGTTTTCGGATAGTTTACAACTGTCAGTTAAGGAATAGGTCCCAAGAGGAGATTATCTTTGCCTGCAGCTGCTTGGCAAGCCACCGAAAGAGGACGACAAGAGCTCAGAAGCTAGATGATGCAAGGGAGGCTGGCAAGCTGCTGATGATGAAAGGCATGCATCTTCAAGAGGAGGAGAGTCAGAGGACCAGACACAAACTAGACTTCAGTTTTAACAAACAAGGGAAGCTGTCTTGAGAGACGGAGAGTTTGTAGGCCAGACACAAGATCGGCAAGCTGCTGATGCAGCAACACATGGAATATCGAGGGCAGTCAAAAGTCTGTAGAGTTTAAATATTAGTTTATTCAGGTAGTGACGTGCAAAACTAATGTTTATATAAGAGATCTGCGTTCTGGGACATAATCTTTTGATTACAATGATGTAAATAGTGTGTAGTGAACATGGTTACAGTAATAGGGGAGGGATATGGGGCGAGAATGTCTGGGTGGAGGAGGGGAGGGAAAGTAATTATCAAAAGGAGGCACCAAGCCGGGAAGCCGATGTAGCGCCATATCATTGTCGCAGGATATTCAAAAGGCGCTATATATCACTGAGGATGCCAGTAAGAATAAAAACGCAAAAGGCGAGCAAAATGAAAGGAATCAGATTTACCAATGATTTTGGCGAGGGACATTAGAAAAGGAAGACACATGACCGTCCTGAAAATCAGGACATTCCACAAGGAGGTGCACGAATGTGCGTGGGACAATGCAGCATGGACAGTAAGGAGCAGGGCGGCATTACATTATAAGCTTGTATGGCCAATACGTAACCAAGCCAACGCCGTTGACTATGTTATTTTTTTCCATAATATATAGCCTGATGTAACTGGCAGCTTACAAAAATATCGTCATGGGGGTCAATATGACAGAGTGGCATGCTGTTTCTTCTTGAACTATGGTGACCATAGCGAGCCTATGTCCGTCCCATACCCCTGACCATTCCCCCTGCAATGTTGTGTGAGGCTACCGTCACCTAGCTCTTTAACACTGAACAGGCAGACATACTTTCTCTCTTATATATATAGATTGTGAGCGTTCATCAATGGCTATCTTGAAGAATTTGTGTGTACTCACCTAGTTGTGCTTGCGGAGTTAAGCTTCGGCTCTTTGGTCCCGCCTCTCGAACCGTCAGTCTACTGGTGTACAGATTCCTGAGCTTCTCGAGCTCTGTCAAATCTACATTTGAAACTGTGTATGGAGTCAGCCTGTGTGTAAGTATTCTCCTAGTTGTGCTTGCCGGTGTTGAACTCTGTTCTTTCGGCCCGCCTCTCAACTGTCAATCAATCAACTGTACTAATTACTTACTAATTTTATTATTTTTCACACACATACACACACACACGCGCACACACACACACACACACACACACACACACACACACACACACACACACACACACACACACACACACACACACACACACACGCCTTTAGAAACTTGTGTAAGGAATCTTTCAGAACATTATATACCACATATGTCAGACCAATCCTGGAGTATGCGGCACCAGCATGGAGTCCATATCTAGTCAAGCATAAGACTAAAATGGAAAAGGTTCAAAGGTTTGCCACCAGACTAGTACCCGAGCTGAGAGGTATGAGCTACGAGGAGAGACTACGGGAATTAAACCTCACTTCGTTGGAAGACAGAAGAGTTAGGGGGGACATGATCACCACATTCAAGATCCTCAAGGGAATTGACAGGGTTGATAAAGACAGGCTGTTTAACACAAGGGGCACACGCACTAGGGGACACAGGTGGAAACTGAGTGCCCAAATGAGCCACAGAGATATTAGAAAGAACTTTTTTAGTGTCAGAGTGGTTGATAAATGGAATGCATTAGGAAGTGATGTGGTGGAGGCTGACTCCATACACAGTTTCAAGTGTAGATATGATAGAGCCCAATAGGCTCAGGAACCTGTACACCTGTTGATTGACAGTTGAGAGGCGGGACCAAAGAGCCAGAGCTCAACCCCCTGCAAGCACAATTAGGTGAGTACAGAGGGGTAGAGGGGTACTGAAAAAGAAAGGCTGGCATTCCGAATGGGAAACTATGAGGAGATAAGAAAATTCCTAACAGATATAACATGGGAAACAGAGTTCAGGGGAAAGACTGCCTAAGACATGATGGACTTCGTCACGCAAAAGTCCAAGGAGGCAGCAAACAAGTTTATCCCAGTTCCCCCCCCCCCCCCCCCCCCCAAAAAAAAAAAATGAAAGGAAGATGAGAAACCCATGGTTTAATCAGAGATGTAGGCAGGCTAAGCAGCAAAGTAAAAGGGCATGGAGAAACTTTAGGAAAAACAGAACAATAGAGAGCAGAGAAAGATACCAGAGTGCCAGGAATGAATATGTCAGGATGAGAAGAGAGGCAGAAAGACAATACAAAAATGACATCGCAAGCAAGGCAAAGACTCAACCTAAATTGCTGAACAGCCACATCAGGAGAAAAACAGCAGTAAAGGAACAGGTAATGAAGTTAAGGATAGGGGCAGAAGGATTCACTACAAATGACAAGGAAGTGTGTGAGGAACTGAATAAGAAATTCCAGGAGGTCTTCACCTTAGAGCAAGGAGATATTCCAGAGATAAGAGAGGGAATTGTTAACCAGGAACCACTAGAAGAGTTTGAGATTACCAGTGAGGAAATAAGGAAGTGTTTACTAGAGTTGGATGTGACAAAGGCTATAGGCCCAGATGGAATCTCCCCTTGGATACTAAGGGAAGGAGCAGAAACACTGCAACTGCCACTCTCCATAGTGTATAACAAATCACTGGCAACAGGGGAACTGCTAGAAATTTGGAAAGCAGCTAATGTAGTCCCGACATACAAGAAAGGGGATATAGACATGAGGCACGGAACTACAGACCAGTGTCCCAACCTGCATACCATGCAAGCTGACGGAGAAGATTGTGCGAAGTAGTATAATATCTGGAGCGAAAGAATTTTGTAACACAGCATCAACATGGGTTTAGGGGATGGCAAGTCCTGCCTCACAGGGTTAATTGAATTCTACGACCAGGCAACAAAAGTCAGGCAAGAAAGAGAAGGGTGGGCAGACTGCATATTTTTGGATTGCTAGAAAGCCTTTGATACAGTACCACACTGTAAAAAAAAAGGCTAGTGAAAAAGCTGGAGATGCAGGGAGGAGTGAAAGGGAAGGTGCTCCACTGGATAAGGGAATACTTAAACAACAGAAGACAACGAGTCACTGTGAGGGGTGAGGTCTCAGATTGGCGAGACGTCACAAATGGAGTCCCGCAGGGGTCAGTCCTTGGACCTATACTGTTTCTGATATATGTAAATGATCTCCCAGAGGATATAGACTCGTTTCTCTCAATGTTTGCTGATGATGAAAAAATTATGAGGAGGATTGAAACAGAGGATGATAGTAGGAGGCTACAAGATGATTTAGACAAACTTATCATCAACAAATGGGTGCTAAAGATCAACCCGAGTAAATGCAAAGTAATGAAACTAGGCAGTGGAAACAGGAGGCCAGACACAGGATACAGAATAGGAGATGAAGTACTTAATGAAACGGACAGAGAGAAAGATCTAGGAGTTGAAATAACATCAAACCTGTCTCCTGAAGCCCACATAAAAAGAATTACGTCTGCGGCATACGCGAGGCTGGCTAACATCAGAACAGCCTTCAGGAACATGTTTAAGGAATCATTCAGAATCTTGTATACCACATATGTAAAACCAATCCTGGAGTATGCGGCCCCAGCATGGAACCCGTACCTAGTCAAGCACAAGACGAAGCTGGAAAAGTTCAGAGGTATGCCACTAGACTAGTTCCAGAACTAAGAGGCATGAGTTACGAGGGAAGACTGCTGGAAATGCTTCTTACAACACTGGAAGACAGAAGAATAAGGGGAGACATGATCACTACCTACAAAATCCTCAGGGGGAATTGACATGGAAGACAAGGATATACTATTCAACACTAGTGGTACGCGAACAAGGGGACACAAGGGGAAACTGAGTACCTAAATGAGCCACAGGGACGTTAGAAAGAACTCTTTCAGTGTCAGTGTAGTTAACAGGTGGAATGCATTAGGCAGCGCCGTTGTGGAAGCTGACTCCATACACAGTTTTAAATGTAGATATGATAGCGCTCAGTAGGCTCAGGAATCTGTACACCAGTTGATTGACAGTTGAGAG